AATACTATCATCGCTAAATAATAGCAGTATCATATATATTATGGCATTTGTAGGCGATGCTGTGGTCACAAGCTGAACAGCGGTGCTGTGAGCTCATGCTGCGTGCGCCAGCCTTGGTGGCTTGCTCAATACTGACGCTGTAACACCCAAGAATGTTGGCCTGGATTTTTTTTCTAGGTGGCATCTGGCAACTATCGGTCGTGGCTGTACTATAGCTGCCCCTATCCCAGGCGGGAATGAACAATTGGTGATACTTCATATTTTTTATTCTGAATTGAAAATCTGAAGTTTTCAATATTCAATATTAAAATTAACTTTGATTCGCTTGTTTTTCACATTACGTTGTAATCATTTAGACAAAGTTGGAGCATTTGCCTAGTTGATTATGCAAAAAAAATTGGTAAGTGTTTGTGTAAGCTTTAAAAATTTATGTTAAATTATTTTAAGTCAAATCGTGTATGTATCTCTTGCACTGTTCACCAACAATGCTGCACCAAGTTTATCGTGAAATTCCCCCTGTGCACATGAAATAAAGTGTTCCCCAAAAATTCTTTTTTCTTCGTAAAATGATAAATTCCCTTCCCTGAACATGTCTATGTAAAAATAAATACCAAATTCCACTTACTTTGGCTGTGGGGACGTGGACAAGGTGCGCTGTGACGTCATCAGGGCCTGGTCGCCTGTGCATGAATCGCCAAGACACGGTCGCACAGGCCATTCAAGCACCGGGTGTTGCCACAAATATATTTTCATTGATTTGTTCTATATATTTTCAATGTGGTTTTATTTGTTTTCTTTTTATAGTATATGATGCATATTTGTGTCCTTTACAATATGTATACAGTAGAATGATCATAATGTTCCATGGAACTGTGATATATGTGTCAGTAATGTGTCCACAATAAATGTTTATTGTTGCAATATTACTTGTTAAAAATTCACTAAAATTACAATATGTAAAGTTTCACACACTATTTACACAGTAACACACTGTATTACACATTTGCTGATGATGCTAAGATAATAGGAAGGATAAGAAATTTAGATGACTGTCATGCCCTTCAAGAAGACCTGGACAAAATAAGTATATGGAGCACCACTTGGCAAATGGAATTTAATGTTAATAAATGTCATGTTATGGAATGTGGAATAGGAGAACATAGACCCCACACAACCTATATATTATGTGAGAAATCTTTAAAGAATTCTGATAAAGAAAGAGATCTAGGAGTGGTTCTAGATAGAAAACTATCACCTGAGGACCACATAAAGAATATTGTGCAAGGAGCCTATGCTATGCTTTCTAACTTCAGAATTGCATTTAAATACATGGATGGCGATATACTAAAGAAATTGTTCATGACTTTTGTTAGGCCAAAGCTAGAATATGCAGCTGTTGTGTGGTGCCCATATCTTAAGAAGCACATCAACAAACTGGAAAAGGTGCAAAGACATGCTACTAAGTGGCTCCCAGAACTGAAGGGCAAGAGCTACGAGGAGAGGTTAGAAGCATTAAACATGCCAAAACTAGAAGACAGAAGAAAAAGAGGTGATATGATCACTACGTACAAAATAGTAACAGGAATTGATAAAATCGACAGGGAAGACTTCCTGAGACCTGGAATTTCAAGAACAAGAGGTCATAGATTTAAACTAGCTAAACACAGATGCCGAAGAAATATAAGAAAATTCACCTTCGCAAATAGAGTGGTAGACGGTTGGAACAAGTTAAGTGAGAAGGTGGTGGAGGCCAAGACCGTCAGTAGTTTCAAAGCGTTATATGACAAAGAGTGCTGGGAAGACGGGACACCACGAGCGTAGCTCTCATCCTGTAACTACACTTAGGTAATTACACTTAGGTAATTACTCAGTACTTCGGAAGCGAGTAATAATCAACGAAGTAGTCCATGGTACACAGCGCGACTTCGCTCTCGTTGCACCAGATACAGATAAAATTTCAATTCCTGTTTCTTCATTCTGTGTACTTGCAAATAATCACGTACACCCTTGGCTTTAGTACTTGTAGGTTGTATGTAGCCAAGCTTGTAAAGCATAAGGTAGTATTGAAAAGATTATAGGAAAAGATCAATTTGTAAGGTAGTCTTGAAAACATCGCTTTGTATGGTCCCACATAGGAAGAGATTCAGTCAGCCTCAAAGAGTGTCCGTGAGTCACAAAGAGATTCAGCTAGCCTCAAAGAGTGTCCGTCAGTCAGGAAGAGATTCAGGTATTCTTGAAAATATCTATGGAAAACACCACCATGAAAGCCGCTAACACTGTTCATCTATGCTACTTTTATCAGATGTATCATCACTGAACGCAGAAAACGATTCATCTATGTATCATCTAAATATATTGGAGATAGCATAGGATTGCAAGGGGTGACACTCAACGCTACAACTGGATACGCTCGCTGTATCATCCTCATAGGTGCTGTATCACTTGCATCCGACCTTTGTGTTAGGTCCTTATTGTGCCTAGCTTCACCAATATTATGACCCTGATGTTCTAACAATAAGGTTTGAATTTCACAGACAGAGCATTATCTTTCAACACCTCGTCGGACTCGTGTTTGGGAGCCAGAGGCGCGTGCGCCACCCATGGTTGCTCATTCAGTACTAACCCAGCCAGCAGCTCTAGGGCATTCTGGGAATTTTTTCCAAGATGGCTGCATCTCACTGGAGGTCCTAAGAGTCCATTTCGTACACAACCAACCTCGCACACAATAGGAATGGGTACAGAAAAATAAAAAAGAATTTTCTTGGTTGGCGCAGTTTCCTGCTGACCGAGAATACTTGATTGGCGCAGTTAAGTGGTTAAGGGTTAAACACCAGCCTACTGTAGGGTGTATAGACCTAGTCTGCATTCATACAGCAGGCACCCAGTGCATTCAGCTTTGTCTGCAAGTGACATGTTTGTCCGCTGGTGGTAGAATTATCATGGAATTTACCATTTTTTTACTACAGACGTATTGATATACAAGATACCTCAGGGGCTTGCTAATAGTAATTTATTAGTGCCGAAAATGAGTCAATATCTTGCAAGAATTAGTAGCAGAAAATCAACTAGCACAGCTGTACCCAGCACGAGCTCAGCCATACCCTTCATGAGACAGCCATATCTAGCACGAGCACAGCCGTAACCAGCATGAGCACAGCCGTACTCAGCAGGAGCACAGCCGTACCCAACACGAGCACAGCTGTACCCAGCATGAGCACAGTCATACCCAGGACGTGCACAGCTGTACCCAGCACGAGCACAGCCGTAGCCATCACGAACACAGCCGTACCCAGCACGAGCACAGCTGTACCCAGCATGAACACAGCCGCACCTAGCATGAGCACAGCTGCACCCAGCATGAGCACAGCTGCACCCAGCATGAGCACAGCAGTAGCTAGCACCAGCTCAGAAGAAGCTGAAGCAAACACAGCAACACCGAGCACCAGCAAGGCTGATGCCAACATTTAAGAACATCGTGGAGCGTACAGTTAGGAACAAGTCTTAAATTTAAGTACATACTGTTAAAGTGTTAAAATTAAGGTTGCAGTAATTTTAGTGTACAATAGTTTTCATATACTGTATTGTAGTACTCCACATACAGCTGAACTACTTAATCAATACAGTGCTAATGACATAATACAGTACAGTACATATTTACTGTATATTATTCACTGTAAGAGAGAGACCCTTGTGTAGGGATAAATAGCAGTGTTAAATGTTGAAAAACAGTCTGGAACTCTGACCCCTTTCAGATGCACAGAGATCAGCATTTTTCAGATCTCAACAGGAAAAAATAATCTCCTAAAAAAGCAATGTAAACAAAAGGGATAAAATGGTTAAGAAAAAGCAGATTCAGTGCAAGAAAATATAGAGAAACAACAGTGTTAAATGTATAAAAGCAGTCTGGAATATTATAAGACATATAAATGAAGTATTGTGAAATGTGTATGACATGTATAGGGAGTGGACATTATTGGAACCAGGCAGGCAGGGACATGTGCAAGTCCCTATCAGTCACTTGGGAGAGAGAGGCAGTGACAACCACACCAGTGTTGTGGATGGTCTCCAACATACACGATAAGTGCAGTATTATAGATGTTTATAGCGATGCTTCCCCTTTTCTTTATGAGTTAGGGATAAGAATTTGTGGAAATAGGGATTTTTGAAACCCTGTGTGTAGGGAGAGTGGTGTTGTTAATTCAGGTGATTACCTAAGTGTAGTTACAGGATGAGAGCTACGCTCGTGGTGTCTCGTCTTCCCAGCACTCTTTGTCATATAACCCTTTGAAATTGCTGACGGTTTTGGCCTCCACAGGTGTATGTGCTCAGCTGTGTGTCACATGGTAAGATTATCCACATTTATTTTGTATATCCATTTGTAAACCCAGGCCCTTTGTAGTGACCTAAGAGGAGTGGAATAGAGTAATGACCTTAAGTCCCAGGTTGTTGAGGGAGAAGGACCCTTCCCCACCCTTTTGTCTGTATCAATCCTGTGGTGGATCCAAGTACACCCCCCCCCCCACTCTGTTCTGAGAAGTGTGAGGAAATCTGGTATTTGTTAAATAAAATCCTTTTGTAAACTTGTACCCCAAGGTGTATTTCTTGTCCCATGTAGTTAGAACTGGTGACTATTACTATATAGTCCCCTACACTTCCACTATTTATAAGAAAGTAAGAGCAGGTGTTGTTAGCGATACTTTAGGGTATAGCTTTCAATCTCGTACCTTACATCACAACTCCATGAGAATTCAAGATTGACATAACTCCAACAATAAGGTAAATAAAAACTGTAACAGTATTTTTTAGTAGAGTAGTAATATATAGGTATAGTATATAATATGATAATGTATTTTTATTGTTTACAAGAAAAAAAGGACACTGACACAAACGCTTCCTGAAGGTCACCTCTTGCAACGAATCCAACCCTGCAATAAACCAGGGTAGGTCCCATATAATGCACTGAATCGAGGTTGTACTGTATTAAAAATTTTAAGGCTTACCCTTCTAAAATCAGTAAGAAACTGTGCATCATCTGTGAATTTTGTACTCAGCATTTTCTTGACACGACGGAATGTTATAAGTCGCTCTTCCTCCAACGTCATGTCTCCATCCACATGCTGGAACACGGGATCAGTCTCGAGGAAGTTATACACACAATTCTGGGGAAAATGTACAAGAACTCAGAAGACAGTTTTCATGCATACCTATAATAAATTTAAAAATACTACACAATACTAAAAATAGAACATTCTGTGTAACGAAACTCCACTGTCTTAGAGGCACTCAAGTTGCTGCCCTAACCATATCACACAATCACTTACATAAATTGTATAAGCTATGCTCCCGTATTTAAATCAATCCACTAAGGAAAAGGGCACTTGCAAACTCACATATCCCCTCCAGGGTGTTGGGAGCATATAGGATCAGAGATCAACTTTACATCAAGGTAAATCACCCACTCATCTAAATAAATAAAAAAACAGCATTGAATGTAATAAAATACCATTTTCTGAGTGAGTCCCGAGGCTCCCAGAATTACCGGGCTGATATACATGTATTAGACAATGGCATCAGTCAATTCAATTGGAGTTCTTGCCTATTGGGGACCATGAGCCAGAATTTGGCCCTCTTAGAGAGGCACGAGAAGCAATGGCCCATAGAAACCTCCATGTGGTTGGCAGCATTCCATGTCCGCCATTCACGCCTCAACTCGAAGTCGAGACAACTGGCTGCAACCTGCGACCCAAAGCGTCACACGCCCAATGAGGGCCAGGAACACTGACAAGGTAATGGGTGGCCAGGACCCTGTTTGGCCTCCAAAATCCTGGCACCCGAATGTTAGCCCAAGACATATTACCAAAAATGGCAGCTAAAGCAGCAAATTTGCCAATGTCATGGTCACGAGGATAGACCGCAGGCTGGCTGGACCAAATAACCCTGAGGATGACCTAGGAGACCCAAGCCAATGCCGGTTAAGAGCCGCAACCGGACACAACACAAAATGCACCCCCGGCCAAACCAAGCATCAACCACCCAAAGACCCCTCCAGAGAGCTGCCTTCTCATTCTTCACCAGAAAAGAAGGAGACAGCTGCAAACGAACAAACCTACCACCAGGACAGAAAGAGCAGAAACCCCTTCGCCGGAAGAGAGCATCAGGCTCCCCAATTAGACACCCAGAGGCCAATACCAACAAGAAAAAGAGCCTTATCAAAACAATCCTGAACTGAAAGGGCCACCAAAAACTAAGGAAAAGAGAGGGGAAAAGAGCACCCAGTCCATCGACCAGGTCGGCTCAGGCGCCGCACAAGCAGGCTGGAGGTGAAGCAACACACGAGACAGCTTGCGAAACGCAGTAGAATTTACAACCACCCTGAACACAAGCCGGAGCGTCTCCGCCAGCACCGCACGATATGAGGCAACAGTATTTGGCATTAAATGACTGTCCTGAAACTGCCAAGAGAGAAAGGACAAAAAAACTCGATCTGAAACCAAAGACAACCTACGAAAAGACAAAAAAAAAAAGAGACAAAAGGACCGCCAGGAAACTTCATACTGCCGCCGAGACAAAGCCCACAGATGGGACACCATCAACGAAGCCACCTGATCACCATACAAGTGGTGATAAACCCGTGTCAGAAAGACTCCATACGAAGATCAAAAGATCGAACCAGCCACATACTGGACTGGACCGATCTGCTGAAAGAGGTGGAACGCAGAAAAGTCCCAGGGTTCGGACACCGAGCAAGCAGCACCAGAAACCAAGGCTGGGCCGGCCACCAAGGGGCCAACAGGACAATTCTTCCCTGCTAAGTCTCCAAATGAGCCAGCAAAACTGGTAAGGTAACCGCACCTCGACCAGTCTGCCGAAAAGTATCACCCCTGACAGCCTCACAGTCGGGGAAGGGCACCACATATACAGACGCCTCAACCATACCAACCCACCTCCGGGTGCCAGTCCTGCAGAGCCAACTGAACGAGTCGGCGTCGACCTCCATTCCTTGAACCGGGACAGTCCGGTAACCACGGAGAAGTCACCCCAAAGAGATCAGCCCCAAAGAGCCAAGGACCACATCAAACCCCTGCGGTTCAGGCAATGAACCACCAGGGATCAGTCCGAATGGAGCTGGATCATCAATCCGCGAGCGACCCGAACCCTCCAAAGCGACAGCCACACTGCCGTGAACTCCCGCACCGTGCTGTGTGCCTGACGAAAGGACAGACCCCACCGCCCCTGGCCGGCCTGGTGAGCACTGGTCACAAAACCCCAGCCAAGAGACGACGTGTCCATGAACACATCGAGCTTAGCTCGGATAGGCACCAAGGCACTGAACCCCGAAAAACCCAAAGAAGAAGCCGGCGACGCAGCAGCAACATAAGGCCCCCGGAGGCCGAACCCAATGATCGCGAGAGAGGCGGAAGGGACGTCCCCGAAGGAACCAGAACAGCCGCCGAAGCCAGACCCAACTCAGCGGGTAATCCAGCACGGCAAAGTTCAGACTCCCCACAGCTGCTCTAGCAACCACCGAGTGACCCGGGAGCCCCCCAGAAACAGCTGAAGGCGGGACCACAGCTGCAGCAACGCCTTTGGAGGGAGAGACAAGGAAGCAGTCTGAGAGTCCCACACAAGACCCAGCCAAGTCCGAACCTGAGAGGGAACCAGAAGGGACTTCCTCCAGTTCACCAAGAACCTGAACCCGGCAAGCTGGGAAAGAACCAAACCCCTGGCAAGCAGACACATGGACCGGCTGGAAGCCCAGACCAGCTTGTCGTCGAGGTAAGCCAAAACCCGAACACCTAACAGACACAAACGAGTCACCACGACCCGGGTAAGGCATGTAAAAATGCAAGGCGCTAGATTCAAGCCGAATGGAAGACAACAAAAGTGGTAAGCATGCCACCCCACAACAAAACCGAGCCAGCCCCTGAACCCCGGATGAATCAGGACATGCCAATACACATCCTGGAGGTCCAGAGACACCATCCAAGCATCCGGCTCCAAAAAAAGCCAGACCTGGGACAGAGTGGTCATCTGAAAAGAGGGGCAAAAGACCCAGGGGGTTCAGATGGGACAAGTCCAGAACGAACCTCAGATCCGCACAGTCCCGTTTCGGAACTGGAAACAGGCAGGAAACCCACCTGAGGGACAAGGTCGTTTCGACCACACCCAAGCGAACCCACTCCAAGATGACCTGACAGAGCGCAGGAGAAGAGGCCTGCCCTGCCAGCCCTGAACCCCCGAAGGAGGAGGAGCCACCCAATGCCACCGCAGGCCAGAGGAAACGACCCGAAATGCCCACAAATCGTGGGACCAGGCACGAGCAAACAGCGCAAGCCTCTCCCCCCCATCGCCCCATCAATGGGGCGAACCACAAAAGGCCCAACGCCCCTTACGAGAAGCCAGACCTACCTGCAGAGCGATCACCGCGTCAGACCAGATGTCATCGGCTCCGACCAGAAGCAGCCAGCTCCAAAGGCAACAACGGTTCCGAAACTGGCACCAAAGGCCTACCACAACCAAAGGAATCCCGAACCCTGGCATGACCCTTTCGGGAAAGACCCCACGGCCACCCTGGAGAACCAACAAGTCTGACATAGGGCGACAGCTAGATGAAGCTGCCTGCAGCTACTGCACAACCACAGAATCTGCAAACAGCAACGAACAAAGAGGCGACGAAAACCTAGGAGCCAGGATCCACACAGATTCCAGGGAGTGAGCAAGCACAGCCTGACAGCACTCAAGGCAAGAAGCAAAGAACAGAGGCACCGCCTCCATCAGAATCAGCGCTAACAACTTCAACAAGGCTGCTGACTCCCGAGCCACTGAGGCAAATGCACCTGACACAGGCCCGGCACCCACTACCCCCACAACCTCCTCAAGCCAGTCTGAAAACAGCTCAAGCAGGGAAAAGAAAGGCAAACCCGAAGCCAAGTGCCTCCAGGCGTGCAAATCCTCACCAACCAGGGACGCTGAAAGGTCGGGAACCTGCACATGGAGCTGCACCTGGCCGATATCTTTAGGAAGAATGGGGGCGAACAAGCATGCATTGAGGTGCTCCAACTCGCCCCCCAGGTAAGCCTGAACCACAGTAGCAGTTTCCCGCCACTCAAGCGTGTGGGTCCAACAGAATGAATGCCATACCCCCAATGAAAAGAAAGGGCAGTCTGTTAACCAGGATGACTCCAGTGCCTCGTAATGCATCCAATAAGAAAAAGCAAAACAGAGCTCAAACGAGGAAGGGGTCCATTACCAAGGCAAAATCCGGGTCACGCAGGAGGTATGCCACAATGGCCTCCCGAACCTCCTTAGGTGGGATACGGGAAGCCGAAAACCTCCAGAAGGAAGGGACCGAAGAACCCAAGGGAACTCGGAATTGAACCCAGGGTGGAGCGAAACCCATATCAAATTCGAACAGGGAAGGGTGGGGGATAAGAAACCCCCTCCTCCTGCAACAACAATCCCCATGCCGAGGGTACCAACACCCAAGTGGGGTCAAATGGAGTCCAAGCACCCCAAGTCAACTCCTCCCTAGCCCTGGGATCCTCCATGCCAGAACCCGGGGCAGAGCCGTCTTTCAAATCCTCCACCCCAAAAGAAAAGGCAGAGTCAACCAGAAATGCTGGGAAAAGGGGGGACCACTGGCCAGACTCTGAAACCCCTGCTGGAGGAGCAGGCTCGAATGCCTCCATCACCGAACCGGATGGGGCAGCTCTGAAAACTGCCCGAGTCTCACCACCATATCAACCCCGCCCCGACTCCGAAACCCTCAGACGTTTGAGAGCCGGGCAGGAGGGAGAGGGGGGGCAGGGAGGGAAACAGGACAGACCACAGCAGGGAAAGGACGAGGGAGCACGGACGAAACCAAAGTCGAAGCGACTAACGCCCCCAAGTCCGGGTCCCTATAACCAAAGCGGGGCAGCCACAGGGCATCCGGAAAGGCAACCAACCTAGCGCGTTGCAACAACTGAAACTGTGCATGCAATGCCGATGCTGCTGCACCCAAGTATCAGTATCAGTTGACTGGGTGAATTGGGAGAACCAGCAAGGAACACCATTCGCAGGACTCCGGGTCAAAGGTGTCACTGACCCAACAGGCAACATGACGGAGGCAAAACCGGTGAATGTCACCCTGAGACAAGGGGACAGAGCAACCTTCGAA